GGGGGGGGCCCCCCTGCCGCAGGCCCCTCGGTTTGCCCTCCGGTGAACACGGTGAAGGAGGCATTGCCCGGAGGGTGGAGTCTAACACACCCTGAGCAAGGCTGCTCCTGTCCAAGAGGAACCACTTGTGTTCTCTGCGCCTAGCGCACAGCGGCTCCGGTCTGAGACCCCTGCGATTGTTAAAGAGGAAAGAATTGTAAATACCCACCGAGTTCTTCACTAAGGGCAACGTCTACACTGGCATGATTTCCCAGAAATGCTTTTAACGGAAAAGTTTTCCGTTAAAAGCATTTTCGGAAAAGCGCGTCTAGATTGGCACAGACGCTTTTCCGCAAAAGCACTTTTTCCGGAAAAGCGTCTGTGGCCAATCTAGACGCGCTTTTCTGTGAAAACGCTTTTCCGCAAAAAAGCCCCGATCTCCATTTTTGCGATCGGGGCTTTTTTGCGGAAAACAGTCCTGTGCTGTCTACACTGGCCCTTTTACGCAAAAGTCTTTCGGAAAAAGGCTTTTGCCCGAACGGGAGCAGCATAGTATTTCTGCAAAAGCACTGACAATCTTACATGAGATCGTCAGTGCTTTTGCAGAAATTCAAGCGGCCAGTGTAGACAGTGTAGACAACCTAGGGGTATGTCTACACTACAGCGTTATTTCGAAATAACGAAATATCTAATTTCGAAATAGTTAATTCGAAATAGCTTATTTTGAAATAACGCGTCTACACACAAAATGCATTTCGAAATAGCGTTTTTCTATTTCGAAATAGCACGTCCACACTGAGTGGACATTGAATCGCTTTGAAGGCTAGTTAGAACCAGTTCCAGCAGGGCATCAGGTCAGAAGTTTCCTTCTGGTCAGGGCGGCCAGCAGGGCACCCTGGGAAGGGCAGGAAGCCCCCTATTTTGAAATAAGCGTCTGCACAGCGCTTATTTTGAAATAGCAATTTTGAAATTGGCGCTATTCCTCGTGGAATGAGGTTTACCAATTTCAAAATAAGCCCTCCGCTATTTTGAATGAATTTCGAAATAACGGAATGGCTGTGTAGATGCTAGGAAAGTTATTTCGAAATAACTTTGCTGGGTAGACATACCCTCGTTCTGCCGTCTGATCACTCTGCCTGTCTCTTTTTGGGAGGACGAACTTGCTGTCTCTGCTGTTTCTAGTTCATGTCACCTTCCAGGCTCGGATGGCGTACTGGTTGGGTTGCACACGCAGGAGCCGTTAGGAATTTCCAAAGCTCTCCTCTGGTCGGATTTTTGCTTTAAACAAATAGAAACATTTCTGCAGGCCTTTAGGTTCTGCCAAAGGTTTGTTTGGACAATGTTTACCCTGGAGGACAGGCTGCTAGCTTCCCTCTCAAACACTGGTCGGGATCCAGGTAAGTAGATCTAGGCCATGAAACAATCAGATACCACAGGAGCTGGGGTTTTCAGAGTTTACACCCCCCCCGCCTCACCCCCTGCATTCTGGGCAGTTTGATCACGCACCCTGATGCGACAGGGCAGGGCAACAGCGAAGTAGCTAGATTAGGTAGCTGGATGTAGATTTTGTGCCGGGGTTTGTCACTTCCTTAAATAAATCTGCAAAAAGAGAACATGGTGGCTACGTCTACACTGGCATGATTTTCCGGAAATGCTTTTAACGGAAAAGTTTTCCGTTAAAAGCATTTTCAGAAAAGCGCGTCTAGATTGGCAGGACGCTTTTCCGCAAAAGCACTTTTTGCGGAAAAGAATCCGTGGCCGATCTAGACGCGCTTTTCCGCAAAAAAGCCCCGATCTCCATTTTTGCGATCGGGGCTTTTTTGCGGAAAACAGTCCTGTGCTGTCTACACTGGCCCTTTTACGCAAAAGTCTTTCGGAAAAAGGCTTTTGCCCGAACGGGAGCAGCATAGTATTTCCGCAAAAGCACTGACAATCTTACATGAGATCGTCAGTGCTTTTCCGGAAATTCAAGCAGCCTGTGTAGACAGCTGGCAAGTTTTTCCGCAAAAGCGGCTGATTTTCCGGAAAAACTTGCCAGTCTAGACACAGCTGCAGAGATCTTCCAGCACCAGGGAGGGAAGAGTTAAATTCTGCATGATGGCCAGAAGCTTTCAGTGTCACATAGCAACACACAAGGTGTCACTACAAAATAAACACCCTGCCTGCAGTTTTGCTTGCTACACAATATCCCGGCCCCTCCTGGAAAGCCACAGGGAAGCGGAGGGGAAAAGGTAGGTCTGGCGGTGAAGAAGTCAGAGGCAAGGCGATGGCTCCGGGGGAGGGGAGGCCAGGGAAGGTGGCATGTGATGGGGAGGGAGGGATGTGACCCCGCCTGGGGGAGGTGAGGAGCATGGAGCACTGCACGGGGAGGGGATGCGGGGCGGGAGGACCAGGCAGCGCGGGGATCCGAAGGGCCGGGCGCTCGTGCAGGGGGGATGCGCTGTGGGCACGTCTGGGGAGCTCTGCAAGCCAGGCTGGGCGACTCTGAGCTGGATTCTGACGGAGGCGGGAGTAACTGAGTCCTCAGGGCCTGAGATCGGGGGGCTGCAGCATCTGACCAGAGGAGTCAAGAGCGCTGAGGAAGACGCTGCGGTTGCTGGGCCAGGGCGTGAGTAAGGGATGAACACGGCTCTGGTGAGAAGCAGGGCGGAGGCCGGGATCCCATCCGGAGAGGGGCCGGGGCCGGATGATTAGACCAGGGCAAGACCTGCCAAAAGTTTGGGTGCCCGGCTCTCCAGCCGAATCCCCAGAAGGGGCTGAGCAGCGGCCTTCTAGAGCCGAACCCTCTGTTCCTTCTGACGCTGCTGGCCAAAGCCATCTGGGGTGAAGCGGGGCGCCTGGTGCTGGGCTAAGGAGAGGCGAGAGGCCAGCGCCTGGCCGGCACTAGTGGTGAGTTATGTCTGCAGAGAGGCAAAGGAGCACCCCGATAGAGAAGGGGGGGCAAAGGCAAGTGGTGAGCAAGGAGGGGCTTGTAACAACACCTCGGCATGCTGGGAAGAGACGGAGGAACTTCAGGGGCTGCCGGCTCCCGTCATGTAACATGGGTCGGGGCACAAGACAGTGGTGCCCCCGGCACATGGCGAGGGCTGGCATCGGTCCCCTCCAGGGGCGGCTCTCCCTTTCCAAAACGATGGCGAAGCATCGCACCCCAAACCAAGCCCCCAGGTCTGCCATTGGCTCTACATGGGGCAGGTCTAGCCCCGGGGGTGCCACATGACCATGGGGAGCGTGGGGGCTGCAGGGACCCAGTCACAGGGCTTAGGAGTCAGGGCTGCAGGGCGGGTACGTGGCCTGTTGGCCTCTAGCACGCAGCTCCTGCGCTGCCCGAAACGCCACGAAATTCAGAGGAGGAAAAAGAACCCCCCCGCCCCGCGTGTCCCAGAAATAGTCCAGGAGACAGGCTCACGCAGCCCCGCCCTCTCTTGCATTGAACTGTCACTTCAAAGGACCAATGAGCGACTGCAGCGGAGAGAAGGATCAACCCAGCTAGCCGGGGCCAGGGCCTCCAAGGGAGCGCAGGGCAAGCCCGGGCAAGCGCTGGCGAGATAATGGGCCTGAAACGGGCTTGGCGGGGAGAGCGCCGAATAGTCCAGGAGACAGGCTCACGCAGCCCCGCCCTCTCTTGCATTGAACTGTCACTTCAAAGGACCAATGAGCGACTGCAGCGGAGAGAAGGATCAACCCAGCTAGCCGGGGCCAGGGCCTCCAAGGGAGCGCAGGGCAAGCCCGGGCAAGCGCTGGCGAGATAATGGGCCTGAAACGGGCTTGGCGGGGAGAGCGCCGCCCTCCCAGCAACCCGGCCGACTCCCATCGGAGCAGGGGTCCTGCCAGGCGAGAGCACGTCCGCGGCTTTCCCGCTGACATGACACCCGACTGCTCCCCCCGCCAGGCCCGCTGCATACGGGCTGTTTCCAAGGACTGGTTATTAATTGTAGGCTCGTTTATTTGCCAGCCAATGCAAAGAAAAAGGAAATGTCAGTGAAGCTCAGCAATAACGGTGCCCTAGATTTCACCGTAACTGGCATGCATGGGTGGATCCCCGTTTTCTCGGGAGTCCCCCCCCAGGCAGATGCAGGCAGTAGTGCGAAGGGCTAGCCACCCAAGTACAATGCCAGAGCGAGGGTGTCTGGTGGGGCTGCCAGTACAGCCAGAGTGCGCTGTACTCACTAGCTCGTGCCCCCCAAGCACCGGGCGCACTGCAAGGCTGCGGCGCTCTCTGCTTTTATACCCCCGGCCTTTGCACCTGGCCCAACGAGCCAGAGATGCCCGCCCCTTGGAAAGATGGAGCTGGCGCTCTGTAGAGGCTGCCTATGGCACCCCCCAGACTTTGCAGGATATCATATACCAGGCTGGGGCTGGGCTCAGGATGCTAAAATGTGGGTAACTGACTAGTCAACGGGAGTCCCCCACTGATCCTGGGCTCCATGGCTTTGAAATGTGCAAGAGCCCCCGCTGGGGATTCTTGTGCATTTCAAAGAAGGCACCTGTGTGGAGCCAGGAGTCAGCAGGACTTCCCACGGGCCAGGGCTGCGCATTCCTCCTTTGAAATGTATAAGAGCCCCAGTGGGTGCTCTTGTACATTTCAAAGGAGGAATGCGGAAGTGCCTATAGACTACTCGACTAGTCAAAAAACTATCCGATAAGCAAATGCTTATCAGATAGTCGAATAGTCTTTAACATCCTTAGTCTGGGCACCACTGAGGGAGTCAGCCCAGGGTGAATTGCTCAAAACCAGGGCTATTTATAGCCCACGACTGGAGTCCTTTCCTATAAGGCACCAAACCAGTCATGCACAGCGCTTCAACTGCCACTCTGGCCAGCAAAAAGCCTCAAAAGCAAAACCCAGACACCCCAGCATTCTGTGTCAGAATCAGACTCAGAGTTTATACAGGTGAGAGGCTATAAAACCCAATCTCACCAACTCGGAACAGATCCTCCTGGTCCCAAAGGACCATTCACAGACCCAGGCTATTTCTACATTACAGAGATTTTGGGAAAACCGGCTGTTTTTCTGACAAACATTCAATTACGTCTACACTGCAATCGTGTTCTTTCGAAAGAAAATCAAAAGACCAGAGGGGATTTTCTGACATTGGTAATCCTCTTTCTACGAGGAAGAAGCCTTTTTCCGAAAGAGCTCTTTCACAAAAAGGCATGTGTGGACGGGGAAGAGGGAGTTCTTTCGGAAGAAGAGGAAAGAGGAAAAAGCACAGGTGCCCTGGTGGCCACTCTGCCCATAATCACAGTTTAAATGCGAGATAGCGTCCATTCAGTCTGGATGCTCTCTTTCAAAAAAGCAGATGGCTTTTTCGATGTGCTTTGGTAGTGCGGACGCTCTCTTTCGGAAGAAGTTTTTTCAGAAGATCTCTTCCAGAAAAACTTCTTCTGAAATAAGCCTGTAGTCTAGAGGCTACGTCTACACTGCAGGCTTCTTGCACAAGAACTGTTTTCTTGTGTCTTGCTCACAACACACCTGTTAAAGCAAGATACGTCGTAGGGTCCAGAGTGACCTAAACAGACTGGAGGATTGGGCCAAAAGAAATCTGATGAGGTTCAACAAGGACAAGTGCAGAGTCCTGCCCTTGGGACGGAAGAATCCCAAGTATTGGTACAGGCTGGGGGCCGACTGGCTAAGTAGCAGTTTGGCAGAAAAGGACCTGGGGGTTACGTGGATGAGAAGCTGGATATGAGTTAACAGGGCGCCCGTGTAGCCAAGAAGGCTAATGGCATATTAGGCTGCATTAGGAGGAGCATTGCCAGCAGATCCAGAGAAGTGACTATTCCCCTTTATTCGGCTCTGGTGAGGCCACATCTGGAGTATTGCGTCCAGTTCTGGGGCCCCCACTATAGAAAGGACGCATTGGAGCGGGTCTAGCAGAGGGCAACCAAAATGATTAGAGGGCCGAAGCACATGTCCTACAAGGAGAGGCTGAGGGAACTGGACTTAGTCTACAGAAGAGGAGATCGAGGGAGGATTTGGTAGCAGCCTGCAACTTCCTGAAGGTTCCAAAGAGGATGGAGAGAGGCTGCTCTCAGTGGGGGCGGATGGCAGAACGAGGAGCAATGGGCTCAAGTTGCAGAGGAGGAGGTCTAGGTTGGCTGTTAGGAAAAATGATTTCCCTAGGCGGGTGGGGAGGCGCTGGGCTGGGTTCCCTGGGTTCCCTAGGGAGGGGGTGGAATCTCCATCCCTAGAGGTGTGTAAGTCCCGGCTGGACAAAGCCCTGGCCGGGATGATTGAGTTGGAATTGGTCCTCCAGAGACCAAGGAGTTGGGATTGGGCGGGGGGCTGGACTTTGATGACCCCTGAGGTCTCTTCCAGCCCTAGGATTCTATGATCCCCCAGATCTTAGTGCCAACGAACAGGGTAGGTTCTGTCCCTTTGACGGAGCGATTGTCCTTTCATAGAATCCTAGGACTGGAAGGGACCTCGAGAGGTCATCGAGTCCAGCCCCCCGCCCTCAAGGCAGGACCAAGCTCCGTCTACACCATCCCTGACAGATGTCTGTCTAACCTGTTCTTAAATATCTCCAGAGAGGGAGATTCCACCACCTCCCTTGGCAATTTATTCCAATATTTGACCACCCTGACAGTTAGGAATTTTTTCCTAATGTCCAATCTAAACCTCCCCTGCTGCACTTTAAGCCCATTACTCCTTGTCCTGTCCTCAGAAACCAAGAGGAACAAATTTTCTCCTTCCTCCTTGTGACACCCTTTTAGATATTTGAAAGCCGCTATCATGTCCCCCCTTAATCTTCTTTTTTCCAAACTAAACAAGCCCAGTTCATGAAGCCTGGCTTCATAGGTCATGTTCTCTAGACCTTTAATCATTCTTGTCGCTCTTCTCTGTACCCTTTCCAATTTCTCCACATCTTTCTTGAAATGTGGCGCCCAGAACTGGACACAGTACTCCAGCTGAGGCCTAACTAGTGCAGAGTAGAGCGGCAGAATGACTTCACGAGTTTTGCTTACAACACACCTGTTGATACAAGCCCTTGGAAGCTCTTGTCTTTGCTGCCCTTGGCACAGCTGTTCCGGGCACAAAAGGGGCTTTTTTGCGGAAAAGACTACTGGGCTGTCTACACTGGCCCTTTTCCGGAACAGTGTTCCGGAATAAGGACTTATGCCCGAGCGGGAGCAGAATAGCTTTTCCGGAATAGCGGCTGATTTTGTACAGTAGAGCATCGTTGCTTTTCCGGAAATTCAAGGGCCAGTGTAGACAGCTCGCAGCTTATTCCGGAAAAGCGGCTGATTTTCCGGAATAAGTGGCCCAGTGTAGACACAGCCCCTTGTGTCTTGCTCGCCACACTCCTGTTCATGCAGCCCAGTCGTGTTTGCTTTTTTTGCAACAGGGTCCCACTGTTGACTCGTGTTTAGCTTGGGGTCCACTCTGACCCCTAGATCCCTTTCTGCAGGACTCCTTCCTAGGCAGTCGCTGCCCATTCTGTGTGTGTGACATGGGTTGTTCCTTCCTAAGTGGGGCACTTTGCATTTGTCCAGATCAGACCTGATCCATGTCTAACCTGCTCTGAAGGACCTCCAGTGATATGTGCAATGGCTAGACACAAAAGGGGGCAGATGAGAAAGCAGCAGAGGATGCTGCTGATAGATGTCTAAGATGTCTGTGAATTAACTTGGACCTTCCTGGTTTTTGTGGGCATTACCCCAGCGCGCTGCTGGGACATGACGGGAGAGCGACTGCCAGGGAGCCAGCTTAGCTGAGCCCCGGGGGCCAGTGCCCTTGGCAGCTGGCAGCTCTGGAGCCGCGAGACTTGTGCGATGCAGGGGGGAGGCAGGAGTCCAGGCTCGCTGACAATCCCAGATGCTTTGCTAAGAGCATCCAGGGCTACGGAGCACTCCGCGAGGTCCCGCTGCACCAGGCGGTGGCTCCTAGTTCCGGTGGGCGAGTATTGGGCCTGGCCCGGGCACTGTGCCTGTTCAGAGCAGCAGCTCTGTGAGCACCGTAGGACAATGCCCGTTCCAGCCCCACTGGGGGAAGGGCTTTTATCACCTTAACTCTGCCCGGGTTGAGCCCAGGCTCTGGCTGCCATCGCCCCGGCCGGCCACAAGCGAGTGGGTGGTGGACCCGCTGTCACTTGCTGGCATTGCTCCTCTCTGTGCCCGCAGGCAGGTGGCTCACCCGGCGGCATGGCAGGCAAGCCGCTAGCGCTGTCCCAGGAGGCTCTGGCCCAGTTCAACCAGGCAGCAGCGTCGGAGGGCCCGGAGGCCGCGTGCCTGAGGGCGGGCTCGCTGTCCACCCGCCGCAGCTCTCACTCGCTGGAAAGCCTGCCCCGGCCCCTGATGCGGCTGAAGAGCATCGAGGAGGGGAAGCCGCCCTCCCGGAGGAGCTCCATCCTCAGCATCGCCAACGCCCCTTTCGCCAGCCGAAGGAACTCGGTCTCCGTGGCAACGGGAGGGAAGCGCCTCTCCATTGGCCCGTGGATCCCCAGCGGGCGGGTGAGCTTCTCGGGGCTCCCCCTCTTCCAGCCCCTCCGGGAGACTCAGTACGAGAACACCTACAAGACCCGGCCGGACGCGGGCTGCAAGTTCGACGCCGCCCAGGCCCAGCGGGCTCTGGAGTCCACCCTGGCCAGCTCCCTGGCGGACGCCACGTACAACCCGGGGACGAGCGGGCAGCTGGCCCAGAGCCTGTCCGAGCTCCTCCGCAGCCGCCTGAAGGACCTCGCCCCGCCCCGCTACAAGCTAGTCTGCAACGTGGTCCTGGGTCAGCGGGACCAGCAGAGCCTGCAGGTGGCCAGCCGCTCCCCCTGGGACC